TGTGAGCTTCAAGGAACAGACAATGTCCAAGGACAAATATTGGAGCATATTTTTAAGTCAAAAAGGGGCTGCTGTATTTATTATCCTTCAAATATTAATATCACTCGGATATTCTCCAGTTTTAGCTGGGACATATTTAGTCACGTGACACGCTTAGACCAGTCTTGTGCGAGCGAAAATATTTGATAGATTATAATTGATGATGTTTTAGCCAAATCAATCTCCACAGTAGAGCGCACAGAAAAATCGAAGAGATTCTCTAATCCGAGACTGAGAAATTTGTCAGGGTATAAAGATATGTCAGATATGTGACTATGTGTTTCGACTGACAGAAAAATTAAACAGGGAAAAAGTTCAAGTGCCAAAATTGCACGGCAAACCGATTAGTAAAATAAAATTATGAAACTAACATGAAATTATCAAAGGTAATGGATAGTTCTATAATTCACTGAACGTAATTCTCAAACGGCAAAGTCTGAAAAGAAACCAGCGATTATAATTTTAATCTTAATGCTTAGTTACAGTTGCGCAAGTTTCCCGAGAGGATTGGCACAAGCATGCATCGAGAGCAAAAAGCAACAAACTTCAGTCCATTTAATTTGCTGCAATATTGTTATTCCCCTTCTTTGTTGCATTTTTCGACTCAAATTAAGGGGGGAGTGATAAGCGATAGTATTTATCCTTAAATTTATTTTTCCGAAATCCTACACCAGTTTGGACTTCGGTCCGTCATCTTGCTTTTTCTTTACATTTGGATAAAAGAAAAAAAAAATCCCTGTGAAAATACAAGTTGCAGTTTTGCTATGCCGAAAACGTAAATGATAACGTGGGTGAGATAATTAGAGGGTGAGCTGGGAACAGAGACAGACAGAGTCGGCTGCGAGTAAGATCTCGCGAACTCCTTCCGCTTTCGATAATTTTGAAATCAATCCCGAAAGAATCATGTGACAACGGCGTGGCGGCCATGTTGGATAACATAACCAAAATTAAAGAAGGTCATGGTGGCGATGACGTCATTTTAC